TTTATTTTCAGCTCCAAATATGTGTAAGTGTCATTGTCATGCATTACTAAACTCTCTTGAATTTTCAAAAAGATCAAAAGGTCTTCCAGTGTTCTGACAAACCTTCCTACTTTGGCAAAACGTCCTACTGTAAGTAGTTTATGCACATATCTGCTGTCACAGAGTAATTCCAGCACAGCTTTAAGTAGGTGTGACGGTTTGCCACTTAACTTTGCCCATCAGAATATGCTTGTAGCCCACATTCATAAAACCAGGACGGTTTGCCACTTCATTGTACCTGTTAAAGTGTGCTGTAACATTCACAAAGGTAGGATGATTTGCCACTTAATTTTACCCGTCAGAGTATGCTTCAAGCTCATATTCACAAAGGTAGGATGGTTCGCCATTGAATTTTAGCTATTGAAGTATGCTTCTAGCTCAGAAGGTAGGACGATTTGCCACTTAATTTAGCCATTAAAGTATGCTTGTAGGTCACACTCACAAAGGCAGGCACTTAATTTTACCAGTCAGAGTATTTTTCTAGCTAATATTCACAAGGGTAGGACGGCTCGCCACTTAATTTCGTGTTGTGCGCATGTGCAGAAACAACATGTAGGATGGTTTGTCAGGTAGGATGGATTCCCAGAACACCGGGACCTTCAGGTGAAAATGGGAAGACAGTAAGCAACAGCTCTGCTCTACTAATGTTTGGTTTTGGCTCCATCTAGTGGTTCCTGAAATATAATGCAATGTTATGTCATCAAGCTTCGTTCTTGTTGGTTTCACTTTTGATTTCTTGGTCTCTTTGATCCTGCATTCACTGCGCGGCCTTTTAGGTGAACTGACAAAAAACGAGCTAATTTGATTTGTTTGTTTGTTTTTTATTCCAATATAAAAAGCTAGAAAATGCCATTCAAATCAAAGGTATTTAATGCAGTCTGGCTGACAGATTAACATGATGAGTCATGTGTCATAAAAAATCAAAAGTGCCAGCAGGCTACGTGCTTGGTTTGGTCCGACATTTCTGTGATTGTGATTTCATCACAATAGTCTCAAAGCATTGTCGTTTCCTTCGATTATTTATTAGGCTTCTCAAAATGCACGTGGCTGTTGTGACTGCAGAATATTAGAGTTAAAATAACTTACCAGGCATGCTTGCAGAAAATCAGCGAAGAGCAGAGCTTGACATCCGTTGCTTTTCTCCTCTG